CTCTCTCTCTCTTTTTCTCTCTCTCTCTCACTCTTTTTTTTCTCTTTCTATTTTATATATATATGTGTACAGATGTACATGATGATCCGCGGGGCTTGTACGGGTCCCCTTCAGGATAATGCAGGCTTGGTCTGGGGAACTCTCACATGGGGCTTTGTCAATCAAGGAGGCAGAAAATTTCGTTTCATAGCTTTTGGTACTAGATAGGCGTAAAACGGGCGAAAGCGGACGAGGTACTAGCTTTGAGAATCTCCCGAATGGAGTGTCCATTTCAGTCTGGTTTGTGATCCAAAGCATTCCATCTGCTGCTGCAGGGGGCATTGCCTGCTTTTGCTGGCATGGTGGTCACTGATGTCAGGATGATGGCAGCCAAAACTTGCCTGGACGCTTCGTAGACGCCCTTGCGAAGGCTCGGTTTAGTTTTGCAAGCGTGAGAGAGACACACACGCAAAGAGAAAGAGAGGCAGACAGAGAGATGTAGAGACAGAGACAGAGAGAGGCAGAGAAAGAGGGGATAGACAGACAGAGAGAGAGAGAGAGAAGTAGACTTCGCGCTTCTTGCGCAGCCTGTAGAAGAAGAAGTAGACTTACAGTAGTAGTCTTTCCGATAACCCCTCGGCACAGGCAAAACCCCTAACCCCCACTAAAAACCCACTTGAGAAGTCGTTCCAAAGTTTTCTTTGGGTCCAATGCCCGAGGCACTTCAACCCAAAGTCAATAGAAGCCCTGAGCCGTATGGGGTGGGGGGTCGTCAAAATTATGGTCTTTTTTCTGGATCCCATTATAATGTAATGTGGCCCCCATAGCTTAAGTTCAAAAAGGGCGATCGTTTTGACAACCTACCATATGGTCATATGGTCGTTTGACCCCAATATAGACCCCAAAACATCATAATCCTTATTATGGGGACTCCAAAAGGGCACCCCTAATTTTGGGAAACCCCAATATGAACCCTAATCCTAAATCCTAAGCCCTAATCCCTAAAGCAGACCTAAGATAATGCTGTCAGGCGTTATATGAAGGCGGCGACTTACGAGTCATGCGTGGAAGTAGGAAGCTGCCAGAAGGTTGGGTGGCCTCGGCGTGTGATTATTCATTGGCTTGGGTTTTAGGATGTGGGTTTTGGGGTTTAGGGCTTCGGGTTCAGGATTGAGGGGTTTAGGGTTTAGGATTTGATCTAATTCGGTGTTGGGGGTTTGGGTGATGCTAGCAGCGCATAGTGTAGAAGGCTTGCTACTGGTGATTTATCGGGGCTTTCTGAGGATCTGTAAGAGTCCCCACCTGGTGAGTAGTATTTCATTTGGGGGTATTATGGTACCCAATATAGAGTAAGATTATATCCTCCTTTTGGGGTATAGTATTTTTATACAAGGAAAATAATCTTACTACGTTCAACCACCAAAAAAATCACTACTCACCTGAGGACCCAACAATCTCTTCATAAGCGACAGAAGGGGTTGCACCGCGGCAGTCTCCCGGTCGTCCGAACCACCAAATGGTTTACCGCAGCAATGCAAGGGGCTGGTCGGAGATCCAGGCCAATGCTCTCGGGATACCCCTGCGGGGAATACGAGACCATTTGGCAATTCCCCGTGAGGAGATGAGGGTAGAAGGTGAAGAGCCTGGTTCTCGCGTAGTACTGGCCTTTCTGCTTTGCAAGCAGTTTTGTCTAATCCTAGACCATGCGCGAAGTAGGCGGACCGACCCCTTCGCAATGTCAGTGTCCTCCCAAGTATCCCCTTTTGCAAGTACTGGAACTAGCTTGCTAGTCTTGCTCCCCTCCTATGGATCCGTTCGTAGCGAATGTTTCTTTGCCCTTATACCTCCTAGCACAGAGTTGCCTTATAATCTTTATTTCAATTCAAAAGAACCCCAATATTAGCCCAATACAAACCCCAATATAACCCCAATATGACCCTAATGTAACCCCAATGGGTACTTATCACTTCAGTTTATTCAAGTAGTAGCTTCCATTTTCTTTTCCATTATCCCATTATCCCAATATAACCCTAAACCCTAAACCCTATATGATATATAACCCTATTATAGTATTTCGTTTCCAGTACGCTCAGATTGCCTTATAGTCTTTATTTCATTTCAAAATAACCCACTATTACCCTAATATAACCTCAATATAACCCCAATATAATCCTAACATACCCCCAATTCAATAATGGTGTACTTATCACCTCACCGTCCCTGAAAGTGTGCCAGGAGATGGTCTTCTCGCGGAGTGTTGGTGCTGAGCTCAGAGAGCTCCCTCTTTAAGAGGGTAATTATTGGGATGAGATAGGGAGAATGGCGAATAAAATGGAAACTACTATAGTATGGGGTTTAGGGTTTAGGGTTGGGATAATATAGGGATAGTGGAAAATGAGATGGAAACTACTATAGTGGGGTTTTATTGAGGGGGTGATGGAAAATACAATGGAAACTACTATAGTTTATTTGTTCAGTTTCGGGCTGTGTTTAGGACTCAGTATTCAGGTTGTAAGGTTAGCGTTTATGGTTGTGAGTTGAAGTTCTGCGATAGCCTCTTCCCATCAGGACACTTTTTTTTCATTCAATGACTAGCCGAGACCTACTAACAACCCACCATCCCTGAACAAAGAATTTGTTTGTGAGCCACAGGGGTGGTATAACTAAGCTATTGCTTTTACCAGGGTTCTCCTTTGCAAGTTGTGCCTGAAATTACAGGCCTACAAACGAAACCTGAAGCCTAAGACCTACACCCTATACCATGACCATGAGACCTAAACTTCAAAACCTAAACCCTGCGAGTCAACACTAAACGCTCAAACCTAGACCCTGAGGTCTCTTTTACTACTGCGAGACGCAAAAAGGCGGGCAACAGAATGGACGCACACAATGGCTTTTTCCTGATCTTCATTCAGATGCTCTGCTGCGCATATTGGTTTAATCGATATGGTTTAGGGGTTCAGGAGTTGGGGGAGCTCTTGAAGAGCTGCACAGACATCGCAAGGCAGGGTTCTAGGAATCCCCTTTATAGGGGACGTCGGGCTCTTCATGTAGGATCCTTATGTGTTTGTGTCCACCTGTGGGCCCCGACGTACAGAGGGACGGCTGACACTGTAAAAGGTTTCATAGGAACCATTTACGGATTTGTTGGCATCTGTAGGGAAAGGTCGGATCTTTTCATAAGGGCCCAACGGAAATGCCTGAACCCTGGAGCTGCATGAAGGGCCATGCTTTGAAAGAGACCTTTCTGGGCGCACCTGTGCATTGTAGGACGAGCCTTAGATCTGATTTTTACGGCGCATCATCTACTTGGAGGGTCAGGGAGACTTAGTAAGTAGGGTAATAACCCCTATAACCCATATAGTAAGCCCATTTATCCCCATTATTAACCTACTTACTAAGTCCCCCTGACCCCCCAAGTAGGGCTTCCTGGTTTGGGACTTAGGGCTTGGTGTTAAGGACCTGGGGTTTAGAGTTTAGGGTTTAGGGTTTAGGGCTCGGGGCTAAGGATTTGCACTCAAGGGTTTAGGGCTTAGGGCTTAGGGTTCTCAAAGTCAATCATCCCCAAACCTTGGACTAAGCACATTTGCAGCCCTTTCTTGCCGAGGTGGCTTTGGCGACTAGGAAGAAAAGGAAGACACACAGGAGCAAGAAGCCTACCTACAGCAATCTTTAGGCCTAGAAGAAAGGGATTGGTACCTGATACTTTGGTATCTTTACCAGACTACATGGTCACTCGAGGTGGCTCTCTGCCCGTAGACATGGCCCTCAAAGCAGCTGAGGAGTCCGAGCTTCCCGACATTCCGAATGATCTGGCAAAACGTGAGAGGCCGGCCCCAACGGTTCTTAGCAACTAGGGAACTCAATCTAGATGCAGACCCCAAAATACTAGAATACGTACTTCGGGGATCCCCGAAAAGGGACTCTCCTTTTTGAGAAGCCAGTTCTTATAGCCTGAAAAAGTACGTGAATTACTACAAGCGGTTGCCCTAATTAAGTCGCATCCTGTCACTTATAGCATCATTCTCGCGCAATCCGTACTTTACTGGCATAACATCTGATTTTGTGCAACAGTATCCCCAAGCCGTAGTCTTGTTTATCTTGAGCGCCTTGTGCCAAAGCCCGTCTTGCTAGACCCTTTCAGGGGCACACGTGCGAGCGGAGTTCCGTATGTGGAGCTGGATGCCGCAGGCTGGATGTGAGTGTTTCCGCTCATGTGAGCTTAGTCTAAAGTCCTCAAAGGGGTTATACAGGGAGTGTTATAGGGGTTCTTAACGGGGATACTAGGAGTTTAGTGTATGGCTCATATGACGCCCTTCTCAAAAACTCGCAACCCCTGTGTACCTGTAGGGCCTTGGGAAGCCCTCACGTGGGTCCTTTGACAAGCGCTACAGGAAAGAGACTTATGCTTCAGAGTGCAGGGGCCTGCCGTCTACATACCTATATTGCTGATATTAAAACCCATTATACTAAGGCCATACTTCCCAAGGTATAATAGGATTTTTATGGATTTTTCGTATCCAGGGTAGTATGATTAGAAGTCCCCAAAAGCTCCCACATGAGATACCGTGTATTTATGTTACGCATAGCATCACTTACTTTGCCTATTGAAGTTGTTGAGCCTTTTTGGCCTTCTTTTTTAGGGGTCTCCATAATAAAATTTGAACTTTTTTAGGTCTGGTTATTGGGGAATATACTAAACCCAAAACCCTAAACCCTAAACCCTATAGAGAGGCGTCTCGGTACGAGCTTTTTGCATGTGAGTTTGCAAGTTTTGGTGTGAGCTCATTTTGACCACACCGCCCTTTGCTGCCATGGCCGACCAAGCACTCACGGCCTATGAGGAGCAGAGGCGCATTTTTTCGACCCAGAACACAGCGGAAGCAGTGCAGCGTGTTTACTGGGAGGACAACAGCCGCCGCAAGCGGCAGGCTCCGACTCCAGTGGCCAGCTCTACAGCGACGCCCGTAGAACCGCAGTCGGAGCAGCCGTCGACCACACCGCACCAGGACGCTACGTTGGTTTTGCCATGGGCCATGCAGGACAGTGTGGCGGCGCAAGCAACTGCATCCCACCTCGGTGTCGACATCAATGATGAGACGGCCATGCAAGGATGGCTCGCACGACCAGTCCGCACCAATCAAGATGTGCTGACACTGATGAGAAGTTATCATGAAAAGGTGATCCGACCCGAGATGTTCAATATGGTTGTGCAGTTGGAAACAGCCCTCAAGACCATCGGGGATTCTGTGTATGCCACGCGCAGAGAGCTGGAATGGATGGGATCTGAAAACAGGCTGATGCAAAAGCATCAGAGTGGCGTGCAGTTGGTCACCTCAGGATGGCCAACGGGGCTTGCACCGGAGCAGCAATCAGCTGTGCTGGATGCTCAGCCAGTGCCCCAAGATCGTCACCTTCCTGCAAGATCGGGCATACAACACAGACCACTCCGCCAACCTCATGGTGTTCCTGAATGTTTTGGCGTTTGAGCCCACCACGGTTCCGCAGCAGGCTGGCTTTTACTCGACCATGACGCTCCTTACATTCAAGTCATGGCAGACAAGGTCAGCTTTCCTGGAGAGGTTTGGCGGCTCGGATGGCGCTCCGCTCTACACGAGCGAGACCACCCCGCAGCCTGGACATCACATCCGGGTGTCGCCATCTTCGCCACAGTGGCAGCGGAAGTTGGAATCTCCGCTGCGTGTGATAATTGCGGCAATCAACGACCACCCCGAACACCAGGATGTGTCGTTGATTATTTTATGGAAGACCCTGACATTGATGGCGTCAGTGAACAAGGCAGACCGGAAGTTCAAGCCGGATGCCACAGCCTCTGCACGTCTGTACTACCACGAAGTGGGTGGCGAGTTCCGAGGCCGCTTGGAACTGACACAGGAGCTCTTCAACGTCCTCCAGACCACTCCGCTGAACAAGGACGCCACGGAGCAGACGCTTTGGGCTGAGCACTGGAACAGGGTGATCTGGGGCAACCAGTACACCCTGGATCAAGCAGAGGCAACGGTGGTGGCAAATGCCAAGCATGAGGCAAAGGCTGGCAGATGGGCAAAGGCAAAAAGCATTGGTCGTCAGCGCTGGTGCACAATGACCACTACTCTCCATATCCATTTGAGTTGGATACTGTAGTAGTCGACAAGGTAGCATTTTGCTGGAATCAATACTGCGACAAGATGGGAGCATCTGCTGAGAAAGTTAATTCATATAGCATTGCTACTTTTGAGGGGAAGCCTGCTGATGTTGAGCAAGGGGATGTGGACATGGAAAACCCTGACCACCCCGCTCCACCAGCAACCCCAGCAACAGCCTCAACAGTGCCAACTGCTGCCAAGTCCATGCCACCCCCAGCCACCCCAAAGGGGAAAGGCAGGGGCAGGCAGCACAAGGGAGCCTGAAAGGCTTTGATACAATTTTGGGAAGGCCTCACTCAAGGACCACTCCGCCTTGACTTTTTGGGTCCACATGAGTGAATTGAGCCTCCCTGACCACCCTGCCATGAGAGCAGGATGTGGACCAATCCTCCAACTTTTTTCTGCAGCTTCAGGTCCCAGCTCCAGCAATAATGATTACTCCGCAGTCCTACAACAAACCCTCAACAAGAGACAGCATTCTCTTCATGGTAACACTGCTATTTGCCTGAATAATCTTCTACCCTTTGAAGTTCCTAGGATCATTACCTTGATGGATCACCTCCCCCTTAAGGTTGATCATTGTTATCAGTTTGGCTCCCAAGCTCCTCAGCAGTTTACTAGGGACAAACTTTTACAATACAGACCAATGTCCCAAGTTCCCCCATTAGGTGTAATCAAGACCACTCCGCTCAGTCAACTTAACCTAGGGTGCCCTCCTTCCAGAACTGGTAAGCGCAGGGTTTGTTTCACAACAGATGGCAGAAAAATTCTCTTTAAGTACAAGCCAAAGTCCTCTAAGAAGACTTTAATTCATGAATTCGACACAATTAAGAGTACTAAGCTCACCCACCGAACACCGCCTCCCAGAGGCACGCCGGGGGCCTTTAAGGCCAACGAAGAGTGTCCCCAGAAGGAGGGGAATAAAGCACAAAGCAGGGGGGCCATTAGGCGATCACTCCGCCGAAGGATGTATCGTAAATGGCTAAGCTTTTGCAAAAAACATAGGGAAAAACAGGTGGGCACTGTTGACCCTTTCCCCTCCATGCCCAAGAAAGCCGCTCTTAACAATGCAAGGGCTTTCCGACAGACAGTGTTATGGCAAAACAATATTAAGAGAAAAAGGGCGAGAAAAGGTAGTAGGAACTATGATCGCAAACTAAAAGTAGGGGCTTTGAGTGTTCAGGGTTTTGCTGATACCTTGAAGCTCAAAACTTGTCTGCAAATCATGGGTGAGAGCAATCTGGATGTCCTGTTTCTTACTGAAACCAAGTCCACATCATACTACTCCTACACTTCTGAAGAGCACCTAGTCATCCTTTCAGGCAACAATAAGGATAAACATGCCGGGGTAGGGGTTATAATTTCCCCAAGGATCAGACCATTCCTCCTTGACATTGTCCAGGTTTCCACGAGAATTCTCCATGTAGCCTTCCGTAAGAAGGGGGGCAATCTTCACTTTATAGGTGCCTACGGGCCTCACTCTGGCTTAGACCATGACACGATAAGGGAACCTTTTTGGGATAGGTTGGAAAATTATATTGACAAAATCCCTCACCCTGAGCCTGTTTATGTCACCGGCGACTTTAATGTTAGATTTCAAGCGCAACATAGGCATGACCAGGGTGTCACAGGCCTATACACGTATGGCAAAGGTAAGCGGTACATTGACCACTCCGCTGAAAGCAACAGGTCTATCTGTGTCAGGGCAATGCAGAGACTGGGAATGGTTGAAGCAGCTTCATACAAGACCCCCAATCCTGTACACCATATTACCTACAGGGACAAAGCAGCTCCACCAGCTTCATGGGAACAGTTTGTCTTCGACCCCTTGGTAATTCAGCAGGTGTATGATGTGTTTCATTTTCAGCTCCAGCAGGATGCATTAGAGATCGCAGCTAAAGTCAGGTCCTACCTTGACCTCCCACAACTCCCACCACCACTTGCATCTGAGCCTTCCCCGGACCCGATACGAGTTCAAAGGTTGGACCACATGTTTGTTAGGCATCAATGGCTTTCCTCCGTGCACTCCTGCAGGTCCAAACTCCACACAGGATTCCCCAGCGACCACTACCTCCTGGTCACAGAGATTCAAGTAAGGTTAGCCTACAGGCCCCCAAGACCTAGACCAACCCCTAAGTTCAACCTATCTAGTGTAACCCCCGCACAAATCAGGGATTTTAATATCAAGCTCAGGGAGTCATTAACGGGGGAAACGCCGGAAGTTTCAGCAGATACAGACCACTCCGCTCTTCACTTCTACACGGACGGCTCCGGCAGTTCAGGTAGATGCAGCGCCCAAACCCCGGCAGGCTGGGGATGGTGCTTTAAGCAGGGGGAGGAATGGCAGGAAGCGTGTGGACCGGTCCCAACCACCTCAGACCACTCCGCATACATAGGGGCTACGGTAGGTTCCAACAATACAGGGGAGCTAACGGCCATTGTGGAAGCAGTATTGTATGCGCAGCAATGTCAACTATCCCAGGCAGTTATCCACTCGGATAGTAGATGGGCTATTAACATGATCACGGGCAAGTGGAGGCCACGTACGCATGCCAAGTTCATTAATGACATCCGCACAATTATGAAGGCAGGGCCGACGAAAATCCACCTGGAATGGGTAAACGGCCACGCAGGTCACGAGGGCAACGAAAGGGCAGATAAATTGGCCGAAGAGGGCAAAACCACTCAGGAACGCCGCGGTGGACGCATGCTGCTTCGACACCTCCCGATTGAACACAGGCCGCAAACGTCCGTCACCGACATAGCTAGGGCCATAAAATCTGCTAGCGAAAACACATTCTCCGGTTTCAAACGAAACCCGCGTAAACCATGGATTTCGGAGGAAACGCTAAACGCCCTTCAACAGGCTAGACTGGCAGAGTACACCGCCCACCCGGACAGCCGTAAGCTCCGCAATCTCGCCAAAAGAAAGGCTCGCAAAGATCGCATCCAATGGGTACATGACAGGTTGAAAGAGGATCCGCAGGCTAACAACCGCACCATGTGGGGAACGGTGCGACAGCAGAAGAAAGGATTTGTTGGCAAACGCACTCACCTTATTCAAGATGGACAACCCGTACCATGGTCCCAAACCCACGAGGCCTTTCGCAACTACCTTCAGGATGTTCAATGGGCCCAGCGCACAGACCCTGACCACTCCGCGTCTATCCTAGGTAGTCGTTCTCCAATTAGGCCACAGGCACCTGACATACCTTGGAAGAGCTTCAATGGGCGTTAAAAAAGCTCAAACCACGTAAGGCCCCAGGCCCTGATAGTATCCCAGCAGAGTTATATGCTCTTTTTGATCAAGACTCGGAGAAACTACTTCTACAGCACTACAACGACGTCCTGTCAACTGGTACTTGTCCTCCCTCTTGGAAGGAAGCCTTAGTGGTTAGTATTTACAAGGGTAAGGGAGCCGACACAGACCCCTCATCATACCGCCCCATCTCCCTGCTAAACAACGTATATAAAATTTTTGCAGCCATGCTTCAAAAGCGGCTCACGACATTCGCAGAGCCATACATGCGGCCCACGCAGTACGGGTTCCGCTCCAAACGGGGTACCAGGCACCCACTCTTCATACTCAGGAGAGCTATGGAATGGTCCACTATGCGGAACACGAGACTTCATTTGCTATTTCTGGACTGGAAACAAGCTTTTGATTCCATTGACCACCCCGCCATGATAGCTGCACTTCGCAGATTCGGAGTATCGGAAAATATCTTACAGGTAATTAGCTCTCTGTATGATTTTCCGAGCTTCACCGTAAGGGGCATGCATGGTATGGAGGCACAGGGAGAGGTCCAGTCAGGCATTAGACAAGGATGCCCGTTAAGCCCCTACTTGTTTATCATAGTCCTTTCCGTTATCTTTCACGATGTTGACCAAGCCATGTTAACTCAAGGGGTACCGGGTAACACGTGGTCAGCGGGACATTCCATCTTTGACTTGGAGTATGCAGACGACACATTGCTCATGTCGTTGACTACCCCGCAACTTCAAAGTATTCTTAAAATTATTGAGACTGAAGCTAGCTTGTACGGCATGACGCTCAACAACTCTAAGACGGAGCTTCTCAGTCACCCTGACCACCCCGCCTCACCATTGTTCTTCCTTGACGGAAGTAGGGTTCCAGAATCCGAACAGGTCAAGTATTTGGGCTCCCAAGTGTCGTGGGTTAAGCCTTTTGAAACAGCGTTCTTTCACCGGGCCTCACTAGCTGAAACATCGTATAAAAAACTAATGCTTGTTTGGAACAGCTCTCTGACGAAAAAGGCCAAGATACGCATATTTCAGTCCACCTTTAGATCTACGCTTATATATGGATTGGACGCCTTCCCTCTGACCACTCCGCAGCTTAATCGTATCGATGCGTATTACCACAGATTCCTCCGAAGAATTATCGGTATAAAGGCCTCTTTCTACTCCAGAGTCCCAAATCACTCGGTCTGGAGACAAGCAGGATATCCCAAACTCCCCTCCACCCAACTAAACAACCTTCAACGTAGTATGATGGACGAGGTTTTCTTTTCGCCATACGTTGAGCCCTTGCATAATGTTGTGTTCTCCAGTGCTTATAAGGATAGGATATTGGCACAGGGACGTAGACGTGGCATGCAGTTTCCATACTGGATAGAAGTAGTCTCTAAAAAGTTCTTTCCTGAAGTATGGCATGACCACTCCTTCTGGGTAACACGACCCCATTACTTTGGACCTCAATTTAAGTATGTCGAGCTGGCCCGGAAGCTGCGGACGCAAAAAGAGCAGGCGTCAAAGCGCGCAAGCACAGAGCGCGCATGACCCCAGCAAAAACCCTATAGAGATCCAACCGTAAGCCAAGAACCCTAAAGCGCGTCGAAGACAACCCAGAGCCAGCTGGTCAAGTCTTCTCCCTGACAGGGGATGCCGAGAGAACGTACTGTCTAGGACCCTCCTTGTACCCTTAATTGGGGATATATGGTCCCTAATAGTGAGTACTTAGGCCCTAATTGAGGGTAGGAGGGGGGTCTAGGAATAAAGTTCCCTAGTTACCACTCCTCATTTTCAGAATGGGACGCTTTTTCTCTTCTTCGGAATTATGGGTCCCCTGTTTCAGGGTCCTTGCTTCCCTGGGGGCATGTGCATACCAATCTTTCTGCAAAGCTTGGATTGTTTATACTTTCCCAAGTTGCCTCTCTGCAAAACCCTCTCGCGGGACTCAAATCCACATGCACCTAGGATTCTTTCAGGTAAGGTATGGCTCGACCATAGGAAGATGACAGCATGACTGTTGACACCATAAATTGCCTGACCGTCGTACGCGAGGATACCATATCTTTATAATGATTCATGTACGAGGTACTTAGGGTCATGCAAGATTCCGCTTGATATGACCAATGGGAACGTTGATTTGGGGGAGGGATTTCTACGAGGTGTGAGGGGAGGGAGGCATTCACGAATCACAAGCAACATGGAAGACGCAGCTAAACTTGAACGCCCCGAACCTTGAATTTATCCAGTTGCCCTGCAGGCGAGCCCTTGTGCCTGCTCTGCCAGCAACGAGGTCAGACCTTTTGTATCATCAGTTTGATGATTCGCGTTGTCATTATCTGTCTTGTTTTGAGATGCTCCCCTGTTGGGAGTGTTGATGACATGTCACATGCGTGGAGGTCTGGAGCACTTTGCAGGGACTGCCCATGCAGAGAAAGCCAATGCCTGGTCTGCCGCGCACGAACGCCGTGCGCCTGGTTGAGCGGATAACAACTATCGTGTGATCTCTTTCAAAGGCATCCTTGTCAAAGGAATTTCCATGGGAGATTTTCAGATATACCACCATAGAAAGCCGCAGTCAGAATTCTTAACAGGGACCCCCCAGAATCTCTTTCTACAACCACATATTCGGAAGAAGCGTGTTATGTTCCCATGTGAGTCCGTATGGCTCTACGTATGTCTATCCATGAATCGCCAATTAGATCCAGGATGCGCTGCATGTCCACTTTTTCCCAGGCGATCAGCCCTAAATGACGATCCCAAGATGTTAGTTGTGAAGCCCGAGGCGACTGACGCATCGGTTTGTACTCACTCTTGGGGCCTTCTCTCAGAGTTCTGGAAGGATCTACAGAGGGCTTAGGGTAGAAGATAGTATGTATGCATGTATGAAGGTATAATGTATGTATGTGCAGATGTATGCATGCATATAGGGAAGCCCTTAGATCTTCCCAAGGGAAGAAGTTGTCAAAACAATTGTACCTCTGTTGGGGTGCCCATACTTGGGCTCATGTCTTTTTGAGGAGTGTCTGTGGCCCTCATCTCTAACAAACCATGAAAGTGGCTATGTTCATCTGTCCTAACCCAGACCCCCTAAAGGATCCAAAAAATGGAAACCCCCTAATAATCCCCTAGTTTCCCTGGCAAGGGTGTGGGGAGCGGGAGTGCCAAAATGTGGTCCAACTTGGCTACGTGTTGGGCCATGAAGGAGGGTTGGCTTGGCTGAGCCTGCTGCTGCTTGCCGCTTCGAAGCTTCGTCCCCCGCCCCTGTGGGTGCAAGTGCTGACTTTAGGACCTCGAAAAAAGGTTTAAGGTTTAGAGTTCTAGCACCCCTTTTGACTCAAGAACTCCAGTCCTGGTGGATGGGAGGGGGTGAGGGGCTGCAGAGGGACTATGGTAAGGATGTGTAAGGATCCATCTATCACTGGCTACAACACGCCGCTGGACAAGCAGGAGAAAGTCTCACTTGCATCATGAAGGAGGGGCGTTTCAGAGCAGTGCGTCGTGTGGTGGTGGCCTAGATTCTGACTTGATCCACTCTCCTGAACTTGCGTGTTTTCTCACACTGATCAATCAGCGGTATTGCTGCCTTTTCGTGTCTCTGCCATCAACAGCCGTATTGCTACAAAGATTTCCATAATGGCTGATACCTTTCTCGTCCTTGTTGCATCTAGAGTCCCCTGAACAGACCAGGAAACCATTTCGAACCCCGAAAAGAAGCACATGGGAGGTTCCAGGTGAATAAGCCCTAAACCCCCTTAATGAAGCTTACTGTCAATTAAAGGTACCTAAAGGGATTCAGAAAACAAGGTCCAGGAACTGAAGATCTCCTGGGTCTAAGGTAAACCCTAACCCGCAACTGCTGATCCCCAAGCCCCTAACGCTAAACGCCAAATTTAGAAGTCTTATCCTAAATTCTAAACCTCTAATCCAGAATCCAAAACCTCAAACCCCAAATCCTGAGAAAGGGATGCGCTGGACAGTGCCGTAAAGGTATCTTCGCAGGCATGGCTTGTGGAGAAAAGGTCCCATACAAAATCTTAAATCCGAAACCTCAAACCCCGAACCGCGGCCTACATACAAATATATATACATATATATAGACACACAAACATCTGCCAATGCAACCTTATACATCCCTTCAAAACCCCTGTAGAACCCTACCTAACCCGTCTTCTCCTTCCTTGAAAACTTCAAGGCCTGGCCGATGTCCTGCGCGAGCTTGCAGTGCAAACCTTGCGACTTTGCTGCTGGTTGGCAGGTCTCAGGATCTAGGTATTCATGTGCGGGCATACATAGGGTATAGGGTTTCGGGAATAGGTTTGGAAAATCCAAGGGATAACAGAACAAGGAGAATCATATGCAAACGACAGTGGCAAGTGAAATGGAAACTGTGAGTATAGCGTTTTCTAATTATAGTTGGCGGGAAACTCCGCTTCTGACAGAAAGGTAATTCATCCCATCATCTTTTTTTGTAGATGACACCAATGTTTCATAAGATGCCTACCTAGCTCAGGAGTAGGAAGCGTCATATCTTTCAGAAACGTGTGACTTTGTCAAATACCAGGACCCTCCTTGTACCCTTAATTGGGGATTGGTCCCTAATAGTGGGTACTTAGGCCTTATAATTGAGGGTAGGAGGAGGGTCTAGGTATACAAAACCTGAACAGGAACCCTGAAAGCCTCTATGATCACCATGCGGTGCCTCAACTTTTTTAGCGTGGACGAAATCATGTTCCTCGTCCCAAGTGGTTGCCGTATTTGTACCATGGGAATCGCGCCATATCCTCTATGTATAATCCTTCTGATCGTTGTCACGCCTGATATTGTGTCAGCAAGCTATCTACCTATTCTTAAAACCCTCACCCGTAAACCTTAAACCCCTCCCCCTCTTCACCCTCCCCCTAAACCCTAAACCCTGAACCTTAAATTCTCCCCTTCATCCTCACCCCCCAAACCCCGCTAAGGGTGCCTGGCTCGGGAGCAAAGGCAGCAGAGGAGGATGCAGCACTGGTTAAGGCAGCCTGCTCCCCCTAAACCCTAAGACCCTAAACCCCATGTCCCAAACCCTAAAACCTCAAACCCCAAACCCTAAACCCTAAATGGTGGTACATCAAGTACGATACAGTGGATGGAGGAAACCTCGAGCCACTTAGGACCCCCAATATGCTGTAATTCCTATGTATAAGGTATTTGGGCGGGAGGGGGGGTAAGGGTATATGTTTTTGTCTGTACATGAAGTATACATTGAAGAGTCATAAAAGGGCATGTGGGGTTCAAAATGTCTCCTACTTATAGTGTCGTTGTTGGTGTTCTCTAGGTTCAGGATCCCACTAATACTGTTGGGGCGAGATGTGGGAAGCGCTACAAATTTGAGACATGCCCATCTTAGCAGTTTGACCAGTGCCTGGCCAGGATAGTCCACATATGCAGTGCTCCCAACTGGGAGAAGGATTTGTTTTTGTAGTTGTAAGGGTCCCTACAAATACTTGCTACAATGCTCTCTTTGTGTACAGAGCCTTATATCTAAATGTCATAATCCCGCTGAAATTCCCTCAGAACCCTCTATAGCCGCTTAGAACTCCACAACCTTAAACCCCTGAATCCTAAACCGTGGGCTACAACCCAAGAAACAGCTCTGATGTGCGGGTGGGTCTCCTCAACCCCTATAGCCATCATGCGATTATAACAGGCTCCTTATTTCTGTACCTAAACCCTCTTATGACGAAGAAAAGTCCCGAAACAATCCCCCATAGTCCTCATAAAGCCACCTAGACGAGTACCAATCCCCCTAAAGCTAAACCCTCGATTAGTACCCATATGCGCTTCTGGGTTAGCGGAATCCTTTTATTAACCTTGCGCACGGTGCAGAGGTTTGGCTTCAGGATGCTCGGCACGCCGTTGGGCACCCAGAGTTTGAGAAGAATATGAGGAGGGTCAGGGGCAAGAAAGCAATGGACAAGAGTATGGAAACCACTGTATTTATTCGGGCCTAGGTTGTAGGATCAGCATCAGCCATACAAGCAGCAAACTTATGCCCATCATTAGTTTGCTTGCCTGCTACATCCCCTCACCTTCCAAGTACCCGACCTAGACCTTCCATATACATGAAGAGCAGCTCTTGGCCCCAAACTGCTGCGTGTGTAAGAAATTGTTATTGGTATTTGGAGTGGTCTGGGAACACCTGTGGCAATCTGTTCACCCTAAAATTATTTGATATATTCCCCTCCCCGAATTTCAAAACAGAGGCTCGTAAAATGGATTGACCGGGGGACCTATCTAATTGTTTCAATAAATATCCCTCTTCTAAGAAGCGTTTTCAGGCTGCGGAACATTTAGTTTTACAGGGGCATTCTTTCTAATATGGGCGGAAGGGATAGGGGTTTTCTGAATATGGGCTGAGGGAGCTTCGGGGTGCAATCGGAAAAAGATGGGATTATACGGGGGTCTGTAGTAACGATGGTATAGGAATTCCAATAGCCCAAAATTACCTTGAGGCATGGTTAATATGAAGTGACGCTTGTAGTGCCTGTCCCAAGAACACGCTACAACTCTGAGAGTGTGAGGGCGGTGGGATGGGCTACACGTTGCCTCCAGTGAGACTAGCGCAACTCTGTGTTCAGGTCTTCCACGCCGGATCACAGAAGCAGGATGTTGAGCATGCTGAGGCATGGTTTCATGCATGGTCTTGCGCACACGTTGTGGCATCATTGAAGACAGTAACGCTGGCACTTCATGTCCATTGCAGCAAAACTGCGAAGTTTGCATGGCAGTTTCCACAACATGGGGCCCCCTATGTATCCCTGAGCACACACTGATCCTTATCAAGTATAAGGACCCCGGAAAGGGACCCCCAATTTTTGGAAACCCTCGTATTCAAACATGCTTGTCAAGGAACCTTGTCTCATACAGCGCTGATCCCACCCATCAATTTATGGGTCTTTGGCGGCGAGTACTGCGTTGGGAACCCTAGGTAAACCCTAACCCGCCACAAGTTGAAGCCAACCAGTTGACTTCATGCCTTCAATCAAAACGATCCCCATCTAACTGGCACTTTAGGACAATTGTTAGTGTCTGTTATTGATGTTGAGGAGGCCTATTCATGAGGCCTTCAAAGTACAGCCCACTGATCCTGAGTGCCCAAGCAGGGAGCTACATTGACCCAAGGACCGACTCACCAACTAAGAGTGACTATAAGGAAGAGTGGCAGCCCAAGTAGCCTGCCCATACATTCCATCTGCTGGCATCACTGGTATTGGTATCAGCGTACCTCTCCATTCCTTATCTTGGCAAACATACCACTATTACACTCCCCCAAACTAACATGGAAACCCATATAGCCCCATTTTAGAGGGACTGTAGTCTTTACAGGGCAACCCCAAACCCTAAACCCTAAACCGCGTTTCCATGTTAGTTTCCAGGAGTGTAGTGGGTGGGGGCTGCCGAAGAGGTGTGCCGCATTTTCTGGCATCTGCTCCTGGCACCTTGGTGTTGGTTTAGGGTTTAGGGTTTAGGCTTTAGGGTTTAGGGTGCTTAATTTCTTCGGGTGGTAAGGCGCTGTGACCGTCAGCCCGACAAGGACAAAACAAGACATCGCCTTCTTTTGCAGATCCCTTAATAATTATGTAGTGCAAACCCAACATGTTCCTCAAAGTCATGCTGCCTCCTTAGACCATAATTAAACCCCCAAATTGATGCATGCTACCCTATAACAGGTATAACAGGTGCCCTAAGCCCCTCAATCTTCCTACTCTAAGCTACACAATCCTGGCTGATGAGCGGCCTGTCGTTAAGCAAGGACAAAATGAAGCTCCACTTGTGCGGACAGTAGCGTCTCATTCAAAGAGGCCCCTTCCAGCACCACACAGATGAAGTCATGTTCTTGAGTCATTAAACGTCATGGGAACAGCCGTCCAAGGCAGTAAGCACAGCTAGAAAACGCAAAGTAGATGTGGGGGTTTCCCAAAATCAGGTGTACCTTTTTGGGGGCCCCATAATAAGGACTAGAGTTTTTGGGGGTCTATATTGGGGTCCCCCTATTTTGGGAAACTACCATGTACACATCAAGCCAAGACAGACATTTAGAAGCAAGCTTGCTGTTAGTCAGGGGGTCGAACTGCAATCGTCGCCACATTGTGGTTTGGTTTAGAATCGTCTGTTCGCCTCGTGAGACTGCATCTAAAGCATTTGGTTCCCGGTATCTTATTGATTGCGGATATTCATATGGTATCCTCAATTAGGGGGCTTGGAAGAAAGCCGGCAAACTTCCGAAGGCTTCCCAAATCTTGACGTCTAAACAGCTTGGACAACGTCCATAAACCCCTACTACATGGCAGTCATCCCATCCATCATCTAGTCTACTCTCAGGGTTGATTTAGTTCCGCAAAAAAAAACTGGGTTGCTGTTAAGGAACTCAAATTAAGTTACCATAATGGGTATATAGTTAATAATGAGGTTTCCCCAATGTAGTAACTTACTTTAAGTTCCTTAACAGCAACCCAGGACAGTGACATCCACTTCGTTACCGGCTTGAGAATTGAATAACATCTGCGTGCGCACAGTACTTGAACCAGCTTACCTCCAGGACCCTCCTTGTACCCTTAATTGGGGATGTATGGTCCCTAATAGTGGGTACTTAGGCCCTAATTGAGGGTAGGAGGAGGGTCTAG